GGAAAGATAACATTTTACGTAACGTATATATATATATATATATATATATATATATATATATATATATATATATATTATAAATTAACTGATTTAAAATATGGTTTCTTCGCTACACAGTAATAACTATGTTTCAAAAACTGAAGCTTAAACCTTCAAATTTAATTATATAATTAAATTAAAAGAATTAGTTCTGTTTCATCTTCAAGCGAATTTTGGAATAACTTATTTTTAAATTTACTGAATTTTAAACGCACTTATAATTCATAATTTCTTGTTTCCAAGGATACAGAGAAATCTAATCATTCAGACAGGGGCGGTAGCGTTTTCATTTTTATTAATAACACCGGATTATATATCTTACTGTTCTTTCTTTTCATTTATATATACATATATATATAAGTGTGAGTGTGTGTGTGTGTGTTACGTAAAAAAAAGAAAATGGTTTTAGTTTTTAGTTACAAAAAGTTGCCGAGTCCTGGAAAGTTTATCTCGCAAAATGCCACATTGGTGGAATTTAGGCTTTCCTGAGACAATCCCAACTTCGTTGGTCTGGTAATATTGCAGGAATCTATTTTACAGAATAAGCATAAAGAAACGAGAATATTTTATTAGAAACAGAAAAAATAGTTGGGAACAAGCGGAGAATTCTTTCGCTGCAAAGCGTCTACACAGTCGATGAGTTTTGTTAAATGGGGAACCCAACTATTACCCCCCCTCTACAAATTACTACTACTTTGCATTCACTTTCAACCAAAAATAAAAGCTGTTAAACAGTTTTTTAGCCTTGAACTATCACTGCCGAGCACAAACACGCACACCAGGAACAATTCCTACAAAAAAGCACGAAAATATTTTGAGATGCTAAACAAGTAAAACTTCGAATAGATATACGTTTTCCTAGGAAATTGTTTTAATATGAATATTTTAGGAATTACGTAATGTGAATGCATTTTAAAAAATCTTCTGTATCGGTGCTGATCATTTAAAGAATTTCCTCCATTTTTTATAGAAAATGGAAAACTTGTTAAAAATCAAACATGTTTTTTTTTCTTGCTTTGACCTCTTTTGGAAAGCAGCGTATCTCTACGTAGAAAACATAGTTGCCAGTGATAACCTCAGGCGATTAAATCACCTCACTTTGCTGATCCGTCATACATTAGGCCGTCTGAAATATCGATTCGGTCAGCGTGGGCAAACACGATACCTTGCCATTTAACCTCACAGCCAACAGAAGACGATGAATGACACTAAGGTGTTGAGCCTTTAAATTTCGTCGGTGAATTTTTCACTTTGATTTTTATCGAAGAAAATAGCGTTTTGGTCAGTGATGAGATCAAAGGCTTTTTTGAACGTCAGGCTGTGTTTGACATGGACACGTTTGAAGAACAATTTTTTTTCTGCTTGGCATTGGGGAGGCTAAACATATTTTTTCCTTTCGTTTAATGCAATAAAGCTTTTAGGTTCAAGTCGATTGTCGATACAAACATCTTACAGAATTAATCTATGGCTAAGACTATCTCATGTTTCCAGTCTCTCTATATATATATATATATATATATATCTCATTCTACACCTATCTAAAATCTATCTATTTCTTCAGCATGTTTTCCCCTCCCAATTAATTTTAGTTCATATATATATATATATATATATATATATATATATATATATATATATATATATATATATATAAAATCTAAGTATAAATTACTCACATATCTATCTATTCATCATCTATGCTTACACAAATCTGTCTCATCTATTCTACACCCATTCATCAATCTATCTATTTCTTCAGCATGTTTTTCCTCCCAATTAATTTTAGTTCATATATATATATATATATATATATATATATATATATAAAATCTAAGTCTATTCATAAATCACTCACTGTTCATATCTATCTATCTATCTATCTATGCTTACACAATATCTATCTATCTATCTATCTATCTATCTATCTCAGCTTGTTTGATCTATCTATTGTTCAGGCCATTTTTCTTTCCAATTAATCACAATTCATATATATATATATATATATATATATATATATATATATGCCTAAACACAATATATATATATATATATATATATATATATATATATATATATATACTGTGTAGTTAGGCAGCAATCCTCTTTTCATATATGTTTCGTTAAAGATTACATACAAGGTACTGCGATTAAGCTTTTTATTTAATTTTTGTTGTGTTCGTACAAGTGTTTACTTTTCTGGACACAAATTGCGTAAAAATTTGTAAAAGTTTTGCATTTTCGAGCGCTTTCGCCTATACTTCACGCCATTATCAAGGATGATTTTATTTTTACTTTTAACTGAATGCATCGCTTGTGTTATGTATCTCTCTAGAGATATACGTATGTTTTATTGTCATCATACGGTCAGCACATTGTGGCCGTGTTCATAGGTAATGTCATTGAGTGTTGACTTTTTTCCCTTTTATTATTAGGGCTTCGATTATTTTTAATTTATTTTTCATATGGATGAAATTATTATGCTTGCATTTTTTACTAGTATGTTTACAATTGAGACTGGTAGGTTTTCCAGTGTGTTTAAATGAGTTTTAATGGAACTATAGTCGGATAGTTGTAACGTAATTTATCTGAATAGACATGTAGTAGTTTGACATGGAGTAGTTTGACGGATGTTATTTGTTATGGTCCAGGTTAGGACCAAGGAAGAACAGCACGAACACAAGAGTAGAAATAATGAAGGTATATTACACGAAATAATAATAGAAGAGGTGGAAGGTGTTAGTATGACTGTCAGTCTGGTTCGGAGTGAACTAATATCGGTTCGACTCGATTCGGTATCTAGCCACCCACCCACGAGGGTTGCATATGGCATAAGGCCGAGTTTAACGTGGGTTTCCCGAGCCTGTAGGCTCGGCCAAAAAAATGCCCGTAGAACCCGTATAAACGGGATCGGGTTGGACAACCTCGCCGAACGAGACTCTGCCCTTCGGCGGAGCGTCGTCCGGGTTCCTCTCTGCTCAGAGGCTCGGAGGATTTCGACCATGAAACCGAGAAGTTCGGCTTGATTCGACCCACTCTCTTGAGAGGCGTAGTATACATAGTGTTAGGAAGAGTTCAATCTATAGTTATAGGTAAGGACCCATGACACCCCTTCTCCCAAGGTGTGTTGTTATATTTTATGATAAGGTTAGTTGTTTGTAATATTGTGTAATGTATACGTAATTTAATTTACTTCTTCGGATCGATTGGCCTTATGTGTTTCTTTATGATATTCCTAAGAGAAGATTCATCTTGCTTATAGTTGACGTGTATTTGACTTTTGTAGAAGATATTAATGTTATTCTTTTTGTCTGTGTGCTCAGTATGGTCATTAGTTGCTTTGGAAAGAAATAATCTAATCTAGTGGTCGATGAGGTAGTTAGGAAAACCATTGTTAACTCGTGTCTGTTTTTGCATTGTTGAGAAAATGAATTATTTTGTTCTCTCTTTAGGAAATATTTTATAGGTATTATATATCTCAGTGGGCATTTACTCTTAAAATTAAGGTGGCAATACTTTTCTGCCAGTGTTTTTTATATAATGAGGTTGTGAAAGTGTTGTTACTGTATTCTACAAGAACGTTTAAGAATGGGAGAAGTTTTTGACTCAGTTCTTAGGTAAAGTTAAGGACATAGTTTTTTTTTTAATATGTTTAGGAGATTATCTATTTCTTGTTTGTTTTTTTTATACGTAGCGATCATATATTTTTGATTTGGGGACTTGTTTAAATACCATGTTTATTACGTGGAAATGTAATAATTGGAAAAGCACGGGCCGAGCGGATTTCTCATACTAACACCAGAAGTTTGGCTGTAAATGTTGCAATTATGGTCGTAGAAGAGGACTTTGGTTGTGCATGCATGTAATAATTTTTTGAGGATATTCAGTTTGATGGATGGCGATAGGATAGAATTATTTGTATACACGGAGTGAAGGATTATGCTAGTTTGATCAACGAGGCCGTTTGTGAATACATTTTAAACGTCGAGGACGCGGAAATACCTTGAACCGGTTTTATACTTTTTTACAATTTGGATGAATTCATGGGTGGATGTGATGCTGTTATTTGTGGATATATATTGGGGTAATGAAATCATTAAATATTTTTCATATATGACCTGGTTAGTAGTCTCCGATGGGGTTTTGGATTTTCAGGACTCCAACCTCGGCGTTATTCGATGTTATCACTTTGTTGACGTTTTTAGGGTCTCCGCGAAGTTTCTGTTTGGTGAATTTAGATCGGCCATCAAGGATGCGTTTGGACAGGTTTTTCATATCTATTTAATTATACTCACAAATTACTCACTGTTGATATCTCTTCCTTTCACTCTCTCCCCTCCTTCTCTCTCTTTCTCTCTCTCTTCCTCTCTCTCTCTCTCTCTCTATATATATATATATATATATATATATATATATATGTATATATAAATATATGTCTGTGTGTCATGTTCAAGTTTTCTCTCTCTCTCATATATATATATATATATATATATATATATATAAATCTATTTTTTATTCATAAAGTACACACTGTTAATATCTATCTATCTATCTGTCTGTCAATCAGTCTCAGCCTTTTCATATGCATCTATCACCCTGATCAAATCTATCTATCTATCTATCTATCTATCTATCTATCACTGGATTTTCAATTCTTTCTATTTGTCTATCTGTTCGTCAGTGACAGCATCTATCTATCTATCTATTCATCTATCTATCTATCTATCTATCTATCTGTCTGCCTGTCAGTGTTAGCCTTTTCATATGCATCTATCGCCCTGTTCAAATCTATCTATCTATCTATCTATCTATCTATCTATCTATCTATCTATCTATCTATCTCAGCCTTTTCATATGCATCCATCACCCTGATCAAATCTATCTATCTATCTATCTATCTATCTATCTATCTATCTATCTATCTATCTCGGTCTCGTTCTATCTTTCTCTCTATCAAAATGTAAAAGAGAAACACTCTAATTTACATACTCACAATTCTAATTCGCCATTCGACCCCCTATCGTCAAGTTGAACGATTTGTAATATTTAGAAACATTTTGTTTGTTCCAAAAAGGGTCTGGAGAGAGAGAGCTGAGAAATTTTTCTTTCTTTTCTTTTTAATACAAACTGCTTTAGTATTTTAGTACCTTTCCAGTTGAGGGCCACTTTTACGGATCACTAAACACTTTCATTCAACGATCAATAAAATAGTCCAGCCCATCTCAGCGAATACGAAAATAATTCAATGTGTTTATCAAAACAACAATTGTTTTTCGGCTTATTTCAGTCAATTCTCTCAACTAACACGGAGATATATTTAAGAACAACGCCAGGCCTATAAATGGATCGTGTCGATCAGATTAGTCCTGAGAATTGCTTTCTTCATGGCATATACAGTGGCAGGAGATCTGTTCATCCACAACACAAAGCGAAGTAAATCATTCTGCACTCTCTTCAATTATATATATATATATATATATATATATATATATATATATATATATATATATATATAATTATTTGACCATGAGACCATCAGTAAGTTTCTAATAGACTATTAAAGGAAAATAAATAGCAGAATTTTTAAACGGATATATATATATATATATATATATATATATATATATATAGATAGATAGATAGATAGATAGATAGATAGATGTACTTACCGTCGTTTTGACGTATGAGTGTCTTTCAATTCAGTTTTTATCCTGTCATCGTCTCCTTAACTCTCTCGACATTGAGAAAAGACAGAATATATATATATATATGCATATATATATATATATATATATGCACCATATAACAAATCAGTTCAGTTTGTCATAGATTAGGACATAAATTCCTCCACATTAATAGTCACATTTTGTTTTTTCAATAAAACACACTAAAATTAAGTTATAGCTGTACAAAGAACTTAGAAAAAAATCATTAAGAACAAAATACTAATATCTTAAATAAACACTTATACCAAAACCAAAAAATTTAGACAATAGAAAAATTAAGATAAAAACTGATGTAAATAAACAAAAAACTATGTAATTGTCGAAACCCTCAAAATTGCCCATACAAAATAAATGTTGCACTTAATATCTCTTCGATTGAAAATCCTGATAACATAAAAATATATATAGGTTGCACTAGCCATGAATTCAAAAAAGATTCAACCAACATCAAACTTCATTTAGAATAAATAAATATAAAAATCAAACATCTCTCTCAAAATATTTCTGGCATCTAAAAGAATCAAAAAAAACACCTACAGTAAAATGGAAGTTAATAAGAAGAGCTAGAATTTGTAGATCATTAAACGACCCGTGTCCTCTATGTATACAAGAGAAACTATATATTACTAAGTTTATAAAAATAAAAATTTACTGAATCAGAGAAATGAAATAGCTATTATATGCCGTCATTGTCAAAATTTTTCCTTAAATAATATATAAAAAAAAAAAAAAAAAAAAAAAAAAAAAGTCTAAAGTTATTGAATGGCAGGAAAAATGTTTTAAACTGTTATTTAAAATTGTGGTTAAAACGTATTAAAACATAAACACCGTTTAAAAATTGAAGTTAAATAAAATGTATCCTAACCGAAACACCTCTATAATAAATGTACTACAAACACTTGAATGAATCCGATAAAACACCTCCTGAAAAATGAAATTATAACTAAAGCTAGATGATGTAAGGTAATGTATGACCCATTGTTCTTTGTACATACATATGAAACTTTATTACTCAGGTTACATATATTTAAAATAAATAATTTAATTAATTAATACATAAAGTTTACTAAATCTGAGAAATGACTTAGATAGTTTTTGTAGTCTGTGCCATTTATATTACTTAAATATTTAAATATAATAGTTTAAAAATTGTAATTTATATATACTTTGTTATGGAAAATAATTATACTTACTATGAGTAATTATCCTTCTGTTATAAAGTAATATAGTCAATTAAAACTAACAATGAAAATATTTTAAAATTTTAATGTGGTAATTTTAAAATTGTAATTAAAATTGTAGTTAAATAAAATGAATTCTAACCTGTTCTTGGTACATACATATGAAACTTTACTACTTAGGTTACATATATTTAAAATAAATAAATAAATTAAGTAATAAATAAAGTTTACTAAATCCGAGAAATGATTGGCTAATTTTGTAGTAAGTTCCATTAATATTACTAAAATAATATTTTAAAATATAAAGGTTTAAAATTGTAATTTTACATATACTTGATATTGAAAAATAATTTTACTTACTATGAGTAATATTCCTTCTGTTATAAATAATATAGTCTATGAATAACTAACAATGAAAATATTTCAAAAGTTTAAAGTTTGTAATTTTAAAATTGAAACTAAAATTAAAGTTAAATTGAATGAATTCTAACCTAAGTTTCTTTTAAATAATACTACACGCACTAAAAGAATCCCAAAAAAGCAAATATAGTAAAATAAAATTAATATGAAATGCCATAAGATGTAAGCTTTTTTGAATGACCCATGTCCTTTGTATTACATGAGAAACATTATATCACTAGGTTTATATATATATAAAAAAAAAAAAAAAAAAAAAAAAAATGTAACCTCATATACATACTTAAACTTGAATTAATACATAAAGTTTACTAATTCTGAGAAATGACTTAGATAGTTTTTGTAGTCTGGGCCATTAATATTACTTAAATAATATCTAAATTAAAAAAGTTTAAAATTGTAATTTACATATACTTTGATAGGAAAAAATTTTTTACTTACTATGAGTAATTATCCTTCTGTTATAAAGTAATATAGTCTAAATTAAAACTAACAATGAAAATATTTTAAAATTTTAAAGTTATAATTTTAAAATTTTAAAATTGAAATTAAAATTGTAGTAAAATAAAATGAATTCTAACATGTTATTTATACATACATATGAAACTTTATTAATTAGGTTACATATATTTGAAATAAATAAATTAATTAATTAATAAATAAATAAAGTTTACTAAATCTGAGAAATGACTTAGCTAATTTTTTTAGTAAGTGCCATTAATATTACTTAAATAATATTTAAATTTAAAAAAAAAAAAAAAAAAAAAAAAAAAAAAATAAATAAATAAATAAATAAATAAACATATACTTTGATATGGAAAATAATCTTACTTAATATGAGTAATTTTCCTTCTGTTATAAAATAATATAGTCTATTAAAACTAAACAATGAAAATATTTTAAAATTTTAAAGTTGTAATTTTGAATTTGTAATTAAAATTGTAGTTAAATTGAATAATTCTAACCTAAATTTCTTTTAAATAATACTACACATTAAAAAGAATCCAAAAATAACACCTATAGTAAAATAAAATTAATATGAAATACCATAACATGTAAGCTTTTGAATGACCCATGTCCTCAGTACTTACATGAAATATTATAATAATAGGTTTATATATAAAAGAAAAGTTTACTGAATCAGTGAAATTAAGTAACCATTTCTGCTGTCATAGTCATATACAAAAAAAAAAAAAAAAAAATGTAACCTCATATACATACTTAAACTTAATGTTAAAATAATCCTACATAATATAATGGATTCTAATATTTAACTGTTCTTAAAAAGAATATAGTAAAATAAAAATTAAAAAAGGGAAAATATTTCAAATCGTAGTTAAATAAAAAAGTATTGTAAAAAATCTTTAATTTTTAAAAGATGACGTTGAAAATTTTTTTACCGTTAACAATTTTTTTTTTTTTTTTTTTTTTTTTCAGACGACATCCATTCAACCCGACGTCAGGTTTCAGTGTAAAATACATCCTCACCCCTTACCAAAATGTAGCTAATAACTGATACAATGATACTGTCATAAGGAAAATCTAGTGTTCAATTTGAGTAGAATATTCTGTAACCATGGAAACGTGATTTTTTAGCTGTGTATTTAAAACCCGGTAAATTTTAAAAGTTACTCCAAAATTCGCTTGAAGATGAAATAGAACTAATGCTTTTAATTTATTTGCAAAATAAAATTAGGGGTTTTAGCTTCTATTTTTGAAACATGGTTGGAACTGTGTAGCGAAAATAACCATATTTAAATCAATTAATTTTATATAATATATATATATATATATATATATATATATATATGTATTGTAAGTCGGAACAATTCAGTATATGACGATTGCGTCTTGCAGGAAACAGCCTGTCTTCACTAAATGTTGACTTCAATGTTCACTTTTATATTGTACACACGCCTATATCTCTGATATTATATTTATTCCATAAATATAACACACCTAAGACTATATATATATATATATATATATATATATATATATATATATATATAAATACCATGGCTAAATGTCTTCAATGAATAACAAAAACAAAGGAATTTTCCCTGCCATTCCAATAAATATGAAATATTATACTTTTTTTGGCTGTATGTGTATAAATATACACAAAAAACATTATTATATTCGTGTGTGTATGAATGAAGTATATATCGAGGAACACTTCACACACACACACACATATATATATATATATATATATATATATATATATATATATATATATATATATATATATATAATATTAAATCTTACGTTCATAAAATAACAATATTCGGTCACATTCTACATTGAGTGGTTCTTGGGCGTTGGCTGGTTTGGTTTATTTTTTTTCGGTATACCAGCCTCAATAGGTCATTTAATGTTGACAAGATTTTTAGGATAGGCTCGTATGAATAGAATATGTATTCTTTGTAAGAAATCAGTTTGTAGATTAGATATTGTGTGAAAAATACTATAATAGAAATTTCGGTCTTGAATGTTTGAATTGTCCTCAGGAAAGGCATGAATTCACCATTTCCCTGCGAAAATATGATATTATTGTACCGGTTAATGAACGCATGTAATATCTCATATTAGACTATTCGTGTCTTATATTCGTGAGTTATTGTCCGCTAGTGCAGT